CCACTCAATTCAAGGTGCTTTTACAAGTCCTTGTCCAGGCAGATGTGCCTCCTTTGCCATCATGGCCTGCTTCTCATCTGTCTTTGCTGGGCAGCAGTAGTAATAACAGTCTGGTCGTGCCCACAGGGTCATAGGCACTGTCCAGCTTACACATGGGAAGGGAGAGATCTGAAGAGAGATTCTGCATGACTTTGTCACACTGATTCAAGTTAGCTTGCAGCGGCATGCTGCCAGTGTTGTTCACCGATAGATGTTACTGCCTGGAACCAGTGATGAACTGCCAAAATCTTAACAACCGGTGCCTTCCTCACCCCACGAGGGGGTCGTGGCCTGCCCCCGCCCCCCAGGACTCCTGCCCCATCCAACCCCTCACATTCCTTGATGCCCCCACCCCAGGACCTCTGCCCCATCCACCACCCTCCCCTGTCTGCCCCCAGAACCAGTCAGGAGGGTCTCGTGGGCCACCGTAGTGGGTGCCCACCCCGCCCCTAAGAGCCAGAGGGAACTGCCAGGGGGCAAGGTGTGGAGTGCTGGTGCTGCTTACCTGGGGCGGCTCCCAGAAAGCATCCAGCAGGTCCCTCTGGCTCCTAGGGGCGGGGTAGCATAGCTGGGTGGGAGCAGGGGGAGTGGCCGCTCCCCCCACTGATCACATCAGAAGTGGCGCCTTAGGCACCAACTCCGTGGGTGCTCTGGGGCTGGAGCCCCCATGGGGAGAATTTGGTGGGTGCAGAGCCCCCACCAGCAGCTCCCCCCCCCGTGCCTGGCCCCAGTTCACCTCCGCTCCGCCTCCTTCCCTGAACGTGCCACCCCACTCTGCTTCTCCGCCCCTGCGCTCCCCCCCCCGCTTCCCGCGAATCAGCTGTTTGTGCGGGAAGCCGGGGGGTGCTAAGAAGCAAGCGGTGGCTTCGCGCTCAGGCCCAGGGAGGCGGAGCGGAGGTGAGCTGGGGTGGCGGGGCACAAGGAGGGCCGCCCACACCACAGCAAGTAACCTGGGGGTCGGGGGGACACATTCAGGGGAACCACTCCCTGCCCCAGCTCACCTCCGCCTCCCTGGGCCTGAGCGCGAAGCTGCTGCTTGCTTCTCAGCTCTCCCCAGCTTCCCACGCGAACAACTGATTTGGGAAGCGGGCGGGGAGAAGCAGAGCGGGGTGGTGTGTTCAGGGGAGGAGGCGGAGCGGAGGGGAGCTGGGGCCGGGCAGGGAGCTGCCAGGGACAACCAGTTCTAAAAGGGCTTCTAAATTTAACAACCGGTTCCAGCTCACCACTGCCTTGAACATAACAGCTCAGGGGCGCTGTAAATGTGGAGGCTTTCCTGACCAATGGGAGATTTCATTTTCACAATCCAGACCCTAGAGTGTCCATTCACAGGAGACGGGAGTGGGTGAACGCCTGCTGGTTTGCTTGGAGGTTTGGATCATACCGTGTGTGCACCACTGACATTAATCTTGTCCCAGAATCCCATTCCTCCCAGCTTCTCTCTAGGCCCCAGGGACCATTGCTGTTTTCAGGGAGCCATTGAACTAGTCCTGTGCCGGGCAGGCGTTCTGCCAGCCTTGGGGAGGGTGGTCTTGTTGAGATTTGGCTGGATACAAAACCCTCCCTGATTTCGGGTCTGTTCAGGGTCTAAGTGAACTTATGCACAGCCCCAGTTACAGTAAACTGAGCCCTTCCACAATCGAGATTCCCTGAATCGATGGATTCAAATCCTGTCCGGTTTGAGTTGTCCTTCCTTCTGTCTAAGGGAAATATATTGAGTATTGAATATCTTTTGGATTTGATCTTGGAAACAGAGCTCCTCTCTGCTCGGCTTGGACTGGGACCAGATTTACAGAAAAGTGTGTGCAATTGCACACCTGATTTGCATGCTAATTTAGTGCAACCACATGTACAGTTGTAGTAAGATTTGTCTAGAGCCCTGCAAATCCATGGATATCTGCTGTGTATCCAGGGATGTGGATGCGGTTGTATTGTTTACCATCTTTGTGGATCGCGGATTGGATGCGGATCCAAATATTTGTATCCGCGCATGGCTCTAGCAGTGAGGTAGAGTGCGGGTGCAGATGCAGATACATATAAAAGATGGAATGCGGCTCGCGGGTTGGATACAAGTTGCCATCCTCTACCCTGGAGGTGATGGCAGAATTAAAACTGCTACAACAGCAGAAGCTTAGTGTTGTTCATGGGTTTTCTGTGCATTAAAATTTAGCAACAGTTGTATAAAAAACCAATGTACGTTTGGAATCATTGGTGTATTGACAAGTTCCTGCATTCATTAGAGATGGCCTGAATCAGAGGACTGGTTCTGATTACTCCCAAACTTTGGAACCGAAACTCAAGACTAGATGCAAATTTTGCAGTTGGTCCTTTTTCAAAAATGGCTGAATCGAGCCCCTGTGCTTTGGGGTACTCAGTTCTGCATCTCTATTTTGTGTGTGGGAAAGCTATCCACTACTCATTGTTGATATTTTTAAACGATTGCCCTTTTTCTGGAGTTTATTTTTCGGTTTCAACAACCCTGTGCTGTCTAGTAGAGAAAACCAAGAAATTCAGAGAGAGATTATTTTGAAGCTATATATTGTTTAAATATCAGATGTTCAGGACTGTTACTCTGCAGATTATATAATTAAATGATGAGCTAGTTGAAGGAGAATTAACTTTCAGGCCCATGGCTCTGGCCTGGGTTCTCAAATCCCCCATTTGGGAGCCCAAATGCTCATTCATAAGCTGCTATTTGCCAGCAGCTGCCACACAGTGCCTCTCAGAGACCACAGGTTTTACCTATAGTTAGAATAATTAAAAGTGCTGTAACTGTGTGTTCGCTATTGGCAAATGTTAACTTCCTAATGGCGACTACTGTGAATGTTTAAGGCCTCTGCTCAGGCAGGCCCTTAAGTCTGTGGATAATCCCATCCCTATTCAGCAGAGCATTTATGGATTTTAAATTTGATGACACAAGTAGCCCCATTGATTGTTTCACGCTGAAGCACGTGCTTATGTGATTTTGCGGAATTGGGGCCTAGAAGCAGCTATATTAAATGAGGAGTTGGGCAGCCAATTTAGACTTCAGAGTTGAGATTTTTCAAAGCAGTCTCAGGGGTTTAAACGAACATCCTCCTACAAAAAAAAATTGACCATGATTAGTTCACTGGCTTGCTAATACCACTGCCAATCACAGTGACTAATATTGTCTCGTTGTTTCTGTGTACTCCCTGTCTGTCTGTCTGTCTATCCATCCATCTGTGGTCTCTTGTTTTATACTTAGATTTGTGGGAGAGGGATCATCTTTTTGTTCTGTGTTTGTTCAGTGCCTTACACAAGGGGGTCTATGACTAGGGTTCCTAACTGCTGTAGTGATAAAATAACAATGGCATGATTGATGGACAATGTGTATCTTAATTCCCCTAGATGTCTTTGAATACATGAATCAAGCCTTGTTGCGTGAAGTCTTAAATATTTGCATTTTTTTAAAAAGAAATTCCTGTCTACATTTGCAGCTTTCTTGATCTCTGACACATCGCCTCTTGATCTTGCCTTGCAATCCGCACCATAGCAGGCTCGTTTGTTGCCAACTCTCACAATTTTAGCCCAGGCTTCATAACGTTTGGTGTTTTTTATCTTGAAATCCCAACATCTGGAGTTGGATGCTCTCCACTTTTTTAAAGTAAATTTCTAGCCCTCGTAGTTGTGGAGAAAAGCTTGGAAATGTGAACCAGAAAGGCTCAAAAACCCCAAAGGGCAAATAGGAAAAGCCCCAAATGCAGCACTTAATTTGTACCAGGGCTTGCCAGGACTGAGTCCTGGCACCTCTAGGCGTGGCAGTTCGTAGCCCTGGCACCTCTGGGCTTGCTGCATCAGTTATGAATGTAAACAAATTGCTTGAGCCCTGGCACCTCTTTCATTACAAATTAAGCACTGCCCAATGTATTATTTTGTTTGTCTTAAAAATAATGAGATTTTTTTTTTTAAAATCTCATGATGGGAGGGAGAAGGGCGCTGACTCCTGGGTTCTGAACACTTGAGATTGACAATACAGACTGTTCATCCTAGAATGTCGTTTTCTGCACATGCTTAGACTAAATGCACATATCAGACAACTGGACTGAGCCTGCTGTGTTTTTACCAGGCACTGCAGTTAAACTGCCTTCTTATTCTTTCTTTCTGGAAAGTACTTACAATTCTTCTCCCAGCTTCTCACATCCCTTAATGCTAGAGCCTGTCTAATGGAGCCCCAGGGACCCCACCAATCCATAGCACATAAAAATCACATTTACTATCTGTAGAACTGCTCTGGTTTTGGAGGCAAAACCGTGTTTTCCTTCAGCCCTGTCGTCTGTGCTCTGGCATTAGTGCTGGAGGCAGAGCATTTCATTAAAGATTTATGTAAAGCAGGGGCTGCGCTCTGAGGCAGGAAGTGAAAGTTGTGGCTTCAGCATGCTAATGCAAAGTGGAGCTAAAGGGTTTTGTTCAACATGCATAATGCAGTGCAGGTTGGCACAGCCCAAGGTTTCATCTGGGAGAATGAAGCTTACGCCGCCCTTTTCCTTGGCACATAACTGCTGAATTCATTCACATGTCATCTTACAAGACCTGAGAATACGGTGACAACAAACTACTATCCTCACAAATATGAAGACTCCGTGATAGCCCAGCCGTACTAAAGAGGAACTCTGTATAGCATGGTAATGCACACAGTGTTGGCTTTGGGTCCTGGGATTAGAGTTACCTGTCTAGAGCAGAGTGTGATACTGTCAAGAGTCAGTGCTCTAATTGTGGGAAAACAAAAGGGATAGTTTTGCTCCTCTATGTATCCGTTCAGCTCTTATTCCTTTTTCAACCAGCATCAGTGAGAAGTGAACATCAAATCCAGCCACCTATGTCTCCTAGTTTGAAGCCTGCCACCACTCCTGAAACCATTACAATGAACAATGTTAGGAATATTATCTTTTTCTGTCTCTGTTTTCTCTCTGGTGCTTTTTATAGAAGGCTTCTGGTTTGGGAATCCATGTAGCTACATATCAACTGTGGAAACACGTAAATCCCTGAATGTGGGCTGAGCACATGGAAATTAATGGAAATTAACGTACAGCATTTGAGAGCAGTGGAGGCTTTGGTCCAATGAGGAAGCTGGAGGGAAGAACTGACCTGTAAACATGCACTCACATACTTTTTCAGAAGAGTGTGTCTGCTGTTCATGATGGAGAATGCCCATGAAAGGTGTTGGCAGAAAGCAAGACAGACAACACAACTGGTAAACCACATACAATGTCACAGCAGGTGACAAGGAACTGTTTCCTGTATGAATGTAAATATATAAATTGTATATTATTTAAACTAGTTAGTAAAACTAATTTGGTATAGTGCTTGAACCTGAAAGAGGACAAGATTTGAATATTGATTAACTGAGATAATGGTTGTTATTTACTCTGTTATATACCAGTTCTTCCTACTGGATAGATTTCAGAGTAGCAGCCGTGTTAGTCTGTATCCGCAAAAAGAACTTGTGGCACCCTAGAGACTAACAAAGTTATTAGAGCATAAGCTTTCGTGGGCTACAGCTCACTTCTTCAGATGCATAGAATGGAACATATAGTAAGAAGATATATATGTATATATCTTCTCTATATACATACAGAGCTGTATCTGTACGAGTTCATTCTATGCATCCGATGAAGTGAGCTGTAGCCCACGAAAGCTTATGCTCTAATAAATTTGTTAGTCTCTAGGGTGCCACAAGTTCTTTTTGCGGATACAGACTAACACGGCTGCTACTCTGAAATTGGTCATTATGCAAGGCACTGAATTTAGCCGTATGGAATGGAAATCCATCAACTTCAAGAAAAAACTCGTACAGATACAGCTGCATCCGATGAAGTGGGCTGTAGCCCACGAAAGCTTATGCTCTAATAAATTTGTTAGTCTCTAAGGTGCCACAAGTACTCTTGTTCTTTCTACTGGATAGTCAGAGTTGTTGAACTTTGTGCCATAGCCCATATAGTTCTAACAGTCAATGGAGATTCTCCTTCAGACACAGTGGTAGGGTCGGCCTGTGCTTTTGGAGTAGGAGGTTCTGAATTCTATCACTGCTCTTGCATGAAGTTCCTGCAACCATGAAGTAAAAGCAATGGGACACCCATGAAGTCCTAGTTGGCGATGCACTTATTGCCATTTGAATTTACCTATTCTAGCTAGATTCTGTCTGGCTCCATTGGAACCATTCATGGAGAACCAAAATAACATGGAAACCTGGTTGGGATAACGCTCTCTGCCCAGCTGCAGCACTCCACCAGGCACTATAGCGTGAAGTGCTACATTACACATGTATAATAAGGAAACCTTGAAACACTCTGTGCACACACCGTGGCTGTAGGGAGCTAATTGAATCACAGAGGAGTGAGCATGATAGAGGTCAAGTGATAAAGTGAGCAGCAAGCCAAAGGGTCATAACCTCAAGCAGTCCATTAGTCTGAAATGTCATGTTTTATGAGAGTGAAGGAAAACAGTTAGCAGTTTATCTGTATCAGTTTGAATCTGCCTGGAAAAAAAACCCTAATCATATTGTTTGTGGTAGAAGCCCAGAATCTCATGACCTTATTTGTCTTGCTCTCTTCACTTTCAACTGTGAATTAATGGAGCAGACTATGACTATCATAATCTAGGATTTGCAAATATCTCTTAGCAGAGCACACATTGGCAAAGTCAAAACCTGTATCCCTTTAACTTCCCTGAAACTGCCAGTCAGTTTTTAAAGAGCATCTACCTGGAGGAACAGGTGATTTAGCTGACTTCTTGCTCTGTCCCTTCTGGAGGCACTGTGAAAGCCAAGATGATGACTTATTCAGGAGACAGTGCTGAGGAACTTTGGATGTAGGCTCGGGTACAAAGCAGGGGAAGGCCATTTTGATGCTATTATCAAAGCCACAGAAAAGAGATCTTGACAAGAATAGAGTCCTAAGAGAAAAAATTCTCTTTAGTCACACACTGTTTTTCTAACCCATGGCCTAAGATACAGAAAAATCTAAATCTGTCTCTACATAGTGATAAAGAAAAATGCTCTTCACCCAATTGCCTTTGGTAGAAAATGTGGTGTAGGAAGGCTAAGAACTGCTAGGTCTTGTCTTTACCTCTTCAGTGATGAATGCAGGCAACAATCAGCTTCTAGCTGTTTATAGTGACGCTATATAACAGGCACTGTAAACCACTGATAGATGCTACAAACAATCCAGGGTCCAACACTAACAATATGGCAGTGATAAGTTGGTACATTCAGCAGCGTCAGAGGACAGGGGATACTAGAGATAAATCTCCCAGGTATGTCTCCAAATTGGCCTGAGCCAGAAAGCCACACTTTATCAAGCTTATTTATGATGCTGCATTGAGGCAATGAGACCGAGAAATGTTGAGTACTTTCCACGCAAGTCAGCACAATTTAATCCCCACTTGCTTTGGGTTAATGCCAGAGGATTTCTTATTAAAATAAAGTAAAACACTGTGGGTAACACACATTTTCCCTTAGACAATTAACAGTTAATTAAAGTAAAATAAAAATCATATTATTCTAGTTCATTCCCATAGGTCCCAGCAGATTTTACATTCCCAGATATTTTTACACTAGGTACAATGCTAACGTAGACTTTTTAACCATTCATAGACCGAAGGCCAAATTCAGAGGTGAGTTTGAGGGAGGCAAAGCTGAATCCAAAAACATCAGAGGACTTGTAAGAAAAAGCTAGAGTTTATAGCAATAGTCTAAGGAAGTTCCTCTAGCTTTTCATTCTGTATTGTGATCTTGGGCCTGATCCATAGGCCGTTGCAATGGACTCTTTCAGATAACTGCAATGGACTGTGGATTGTTCCCTGACAGAATATCTGTGCCTGTGGAGTGAGGAGGAAGGCCTTAAGAAAAATGAATACTGTAGTGTAACCATGTCATAGCATGAGCTGGCCCTTTAAGACCTTAGGGGGCTCGGCTACACCTGTTACAGATCTAGCTTGCCTCCCCAGGTGGAGGTAATGAATGATGTCATTTGACAAAGGGTCTGGTGACTCGCAGCAGGGACTGCTGGGAGAGGAAAGAGCATACCTGAGAGAGACTCCCGAGAGGGATTCCGGGGTGTGGAGCCCTAGGAACTGGTGCTCCATAAAGAGTGGGAGGCCATCCAGAAAGGTTGGCAATTTAGTAAGAAGTCCTGGGAAAGAGAGTGAGGTTTTGGCTATGGGAGCAGACAGCCCAACTCTTTAGGGGCCTCAGGTCCAGTCATCCATAGAAGAGGGTGGGTTTGGGTTCCCCTATACCCCCACCTAGTGAGGTGAAGTAGTGCAACCCCCTGATATTAAGGGGACAAGTGGGAACTGACCAGAGCCCTGAAGGGCTAGAGAGGAGCCCAGGAGAAGAGTGGAAATGTGTGGGTGTGACATAGACCCTTGGGAAGGAAGGACTCCGCCTGGTGAGACGGGGGTGGAAGATTTGTTTGTATGTACTTCTGGATGCTGGCACCCTGGGAGGGGTTGGACTTCAGTAATTTAGCCATAGAGCCACGTTACCTCAGCAACCTGATTGCACTGAAGACTCAGAGAACCAAAGTGTATGAGGGAAAACTGAGGCAGCAGCAGCTCTGGTGGCAGACTGGGTAGGTGGTGCTGCTACACGCCAGACTTCTATCTTAAGGAAAGCCACCTTGAGAGGAAGAGACCAATATGTAACCAGTCTTGGCTTGTGTGGCATGGAGGGGATTATGGAACCTGGATTCTGAGTCTAGTTGTGTTTTTGCCTTAGTGGGGCTTATTTCTGTTTAATTACTGAACTTTATGATGTCAACATCATAACTTTTTGGCTGGTTAGTTGCTCTGTCTGCTTGACCAGTGTTAGTGTCAGGTTAAGCTAGAGATCTAAGGACAGCTTGCTTGATCTCCACCAATTCTTCCAGTGTCTCACTCCTAATGGTAATTTATTGTCTTAATAGAGCAGCTGTCTTTCTATTTTCATCCAGAGACACGTGAAGATGGTCACACGTTGAAAAGAGAGCAGACTGTTGAATTAAAACCTAGAGCACGATTTACAACTACTTTGAAAACTTCCGGTGGGTCTCATGTGTTACAATGGTGGTCAGATGCATCTCTGGGTTAAATTTTGCTCTGTTACACCAGTCAATACAAAGTAATTCCAGTAAATTCAGTGGAGTTATTTCAGATTAACACCAAGCAAATTCTGACCATCTATGTCATTAACAGATACTCTAAAATTGGTAAATTGGAGATATTATGATAGGTACTTTGAGAAATGCAAATAGTAATAAGCATCTGTAGTATTTTGGTGACTGGAGACAATACCCCCATTCATAATTATGGAGATGGTGAGAGAGAGAAAGCGTTTCTAGAAATAGTTCTGAAAAATCGGTTCTATTCATACATGCACATCACTATATATGGCTAGTTAGGCTTATTTAGTAAAGGTTTATCAAGCTGTCTGAAGTACTATAATTTTCCTTTAAGAGGAATGGAAAGCCCTCCAATATTGTAATAGGATGAACTTCAAGAAGATAAAGAAAAAATAACTTTGAAATAAAATCCCAGAAGTTACGTAGGGGGCTCTCACAGTGAAATACTTTTGCCTACTGATTTCAATATTCTCAACAAACAAGTTCATCCGCAGGTGATTATCTGCCCCAGGTGTACATAAGGCAATTAAGGAAAAGCTCAGTCTATAAAGTAAGAATTTTACTTTGTTGGTTTCACTGAAGTTACATTTATCCTCTCTAATGCCTGTTTGCCCTACATTGTAGCTTGTCAGTGGGAGAGATGTGAATAATCCTGTTAAACAATGGAGCTTCAGAAGAACATATTGTTCTGATGAAAGGCTTCCCAAGTCATTGTAATGGTTTTAAACATAAAGCACGTTACTAACAATGTTAACTGACTAAAATATAGGCACCACAAGAAATTCAGGTCTGTGGATTCCAATTGCTATTAGAAATGAGGGCTTTGATGCCTAACTCTGGTCTTGATTATGGGGGCAAGGTGGTTCAAGCTGTTATTAATGGACTTTCGAAACTTTTAGTTCAAAGCTGCGAGGTCAAATCCAGCTTCAGCCTGGGTTTCCAGAAACCAAAGGCAGTGTCTTTGACAGCTGTTCAGTCACCTGTGTGAAATTAGTTTGTGGTGTCTCTCTAGTTCCTAGTGAATAGGCATCTTCCTCACAAAACCAACCACTACCCTCACTAACTGCCTGGTGGATCGGAGTCTGGAATCCTCCCTCCTTGAGAGGTGGTGCTTCCAGGGCAGGTGTTGAGGGCCACCGACCGATGC